CTTGCGGGCTTTGGCGCCGCCCGCCGCCTTCTTCGGCTTCTTGGCGGTCGCCTTGGCCGGAGCCGGGGCGGCGGCGGGCGCTGCCTCAGCAGCGGGTGCCGGTGCAGTCTCAGACATGCCGGAGCTGCGCGGTGTGGACCGGCGGTTGCGGCCGAGGCGCCCTTATTTATAGCAGCGCAGCGGGCGCTGATTGGTGCGTTGCGGAGTCCTCCCCGCCCCGCCGCCCGGCGCGCTGCATCTCGGCTTGTGTTTCTTCCTTCTCAAAAAAGTGTGATTTTGGTAAAAATTGGTGTTCACGGCACTCGGTTTCTTAACCACGGTGCTGGGGAGAGAGGGTAGTTTTGTCCTTTGGAGTTTCTTTTATCTCAGATGTAAAATGACGTTTATACCGGACTGTAATCTCTGAGTTTGGGGATTGTGTGAAGAGCTGAACAGTAAGATTTTTATTTTTACTTCTATATTGCAATTATGTTTCTGACGGCATCGCCACAGTGGCATCGGATTAGTGTTCCTGAGACGGTTTTTTGTCAATGTAGTACAAAACGGAGATAATCTCGAGTCATTTTCTTTGCTTAAATTAGCTTTGAAAAGAAGCAAGTAACACAAAGTTTCCTCCAAGCTCTGCAGCTGGGTTAGGAGCTGCTTCCCGGTAACACGGTTTCATCTCTTAAAAACAACAAAACCTTTGGACATTGTGCCCTATACGGCTTTGCACAGAGCTTATAAAAAGTGAAGAAATAACGTGTCTTTCACCAGAAATAGTTAAATGAATACCAGATCAGTTTAATTAGCCAGCAGTGTCATCTTACAAGAACATACAGATGTTCTTCCTCTGCTTTCTTCAGCTTTCTTCGTCTTTGTACTAACATTTCAATTAATCATATTTACATTTCTTTCTCCCAGAAGAACTCTTTTGAGTAACCCAAGTAGGCAAATATATTCATCCCTGTGTTCATATTTTAAGATGAAGTGTTTACTTTTGTGATTATTTTTATAGTTGAGGGCATATTGTCAGTCAAATACAGCAGCTGAGCAAAAAATAACCAAGGTAAGATATGCTTGTTTTCTGCATGGAAAGAACTGCAGGTTGGGCTGGAGGGACTTCTTTAATAACACAGTATAAATCCAGTAGGCGATCAAACAATTCTCTCCTCAGCACTGCCAAGGTAAACTGGAGCAGGAAATTGAGGGCAATGCTAGAGAGGAAATGCTATGATACAGCTGTTCAATACAACTTGTCATAACTGCTTGATTTGTTTTGGTTTTTTTTTTTTCTTCTTTTTCTCAGGTGAAGAAATGCTCTTACATAACCTGGGAAAACTTTATTTTGCATTTGATTGTATCTTTCTAATTTAAACTTCAGTACGGCACAGTATTTGGTAACTTTATAGATGTGATGAATACATTTCCTTTCATTTACTTTTATCTGCTGTTTCCTCTCCTTCTCAGCACTCCTATACTCTACAAACTGATATCTGGAGCTCTATAGCCAAAATTAGTATTCTGAGCCTTAATATTGTCCAGCTCATAATGAGAGATCTGTTTCTTTTGCTTTGACCCCTGTAATTCATTTTATACACATTCATTTTATATATAGACTATTATTAAAATCCTGTATTTCAGGAAAACATGAAACAGGACATTGAATATGTAATGAGCAGAGCTACAGTCTCCCATCTTACAGCACTTTTTTTTTCCCCCTCTGGTGAGACATGTAGAAACAAGATCCAGATGGGATCCATCCACACAGGATCTGACGAGAGGCTGTGAGACCCTGACGAAAACAGAAAATAGAGCCAACTTTGCCTTCCAGTTCTTAAATGCTGTTGCAGAAGAGACCATGAGCACAAGGACGGTGAGAGGACAGGATGCAGTGGTAGGTTATTTTGTGCTCTGTGGCCTCAGTGAGAGGACATAACTTACAACTTCAGCATAGTGTCTCCTGCCCTCAGCATTCATCCTGCTGGCAGCAGGTTTTGTTTTTTAACCTTTTGTATGTCACTGAAGAAACTGCCTAAACAAAGAAGTGAGGCCACGGCAGACAATTCTTTTCTTGTCGTGTTCAGATTTCTGAGACAGAGCTTTGCTCATTCTGCTGACTTGCATTTCTTTTCCCCTGGTAGAAGGTCAGAGAGTGGCACAATGCACACACAGTCACAGATGAGCTCATGTTTGAGCTGTTGGTGGCAGATCAGAACCACCATGGGGAAGGCAGTGGGGGGGGGGAAGGGTTTCCTTTTACCAAGGTAGGATTTTGTGATGTGGGATAAATTGAATATGTATAAAATAATTATCTTGGGATGGGTCAGATAGTAGAGTTAATTGTTCAGAAGTATGCAGTACAATGTGGGAAAGGACAGGAGACCCGAGGGATTATTTCCTGTTATGAAAATGCAGTCATTTGTGGTTTGTTTTTTTTTTTTTCTTTCTTTCTTTCTGCATTTCCTGCAGTAATACAGCACACAAACTCTTGTGAAGTTTATGGCAGTAGTGAAGACAGTCTAAGGATTTTGCCAGCAGCACTGATTTACCATGACTTGGGTACAATTAAAGTGTGAGAAACCTCCAAGAGATGTGGTTGTGTCCTGGAGTGGCTTTTGTCTGCATAAGGCAAGAAACAGAATAGCATCACATGTGAAAGTGTAACAAGAGAAGGAGATGAGGTTATTTAGAGCTACCATTTGTATCGATGCTGTATTTCATTCACACTTCTTATGTGTGGTATCCTATTAGGTCAATTCTGACTTCTCTGTGCTCCAGATACAAAAAAAAATAAATAAATGAAGTCATGAAGTCACTCATGGCAATGCAAATCTGCTTGACTTGGGATGATCTCTAGGACATCTTCTGTCATGGGTAGAGGCAGTTTTTTAAAAATGGATTTTTGATGGTTTTCTGAATAATAACACATTGTTACACGAAAGAGAAAAAATCTATTTCTCAGTTGGAAAGCGTTACTACTGCTTACAGCTCAGTCTCCAGTGTAGGACTCTTCCTCATAATAAGAGGTATTTTAGTATTCATAGATCTTTTAAATTCCCATGTAGATAACTAGCATCTTTTTGTAAGGAATCTACAATCAGACGCATAGTAGACATCAGGCAGAAAATTACATTATCTAGTCAGAAATATCCATATAGACTTCTTTAATGTTCCTAAAATTATTTCCTCATGAAAAAAATTCCAAATCCAAATATTCAGTTTTAGTTTGATGCAAAACAGAACAGAAATAGCTCCTTTCTCATTCCAGTCCATTTAGTTTTTAAAGGCTCCCAAACTCAGCTAAGGTGTAATTCCAAGAATCAGTTCAGATCAATCAGTCAGTGTAAAGTGTCATGTTCAATATTTAATGCTTCAATATCACATAAATACAACATGTATGAAAATGTTACTGTACTGATTAATTTATACATGTAAATTTATGCTTTACTAAAAAGAGATTTTGCCTGTAGTGAATGTGGATTCAGGTAGAAAGGAGGTAGCCATTCATCACTCTTTCTCTCCACTTACCTCACTCATTTAATAAGCTGGGAGGGTCACAGGAGGCAGAGCATATGATATGTCTGAAAAATGTGTACAGCACTTCGGAGACCAGGAGAAAATGTAGTATGGAAACTCTGTGAATCACTGAGATGCAGTACACTGAATATTTCCAGGCATTCAGACAAATGTTCAGGATTGTTTTCGGTAAACGTGAACAGAACTTCAAACACAGATTTCCATTTTCTGCCCTTAAGTCACATGCTTTAATAGGGACAGTAGGGAAGGGCCGATGGTCGGACTCGATCTTAGAGGTCTTTTCCAAACTTAATGATTTTGTGATTCTATGTGAAATGCCACTTTCCAATGGCACATTAACAAGATAGTTTATTTGTTGCAGCACACATAGCACATGTAATTGGAGATCTCCTGGCACCTCATGCCTGGACTGCTGCTGCTCACCCTGCAGACAGCAGCTCCTTCCCCTGTGGGTCTGCTCAGAGAAGACACTCTTCTGGGCTGTCCACTCCACAAACAGCCTCAGTAAACGTGCTGTGCTGCGTGGTCAAGCTTTCATTTGCTCCTCAAGACTATGAGAACAAAATGCTGTCTTTGACTTCTGCCTGGTAGATGCAGCAAAGTGGGTACGGATTGTATCAGGGTGAAATATGAAGTGACAGTTGTGCAATAACACACCTTCTTTAGAGCTGAACTGTCCTATATGGTCTCCTACATTTGTTGGCAGTGAGAGGTGAGGTGGTTGAGCTGCTACTTACATGCCCGGTAGGAAATAATGAGTCTTGGAAAGAAGTGCTGCACAGATGGGAAGAGTGCCACCAACTGCAGTGCTTCAGGATGGGGAAGACATCATAGCTGCCCTTCCTCCTTGTAGGCTGTGCTGAAAGAAGAAAACTGCAAAGTCAGCACTGGAAATGAGACTGAAAAGCTGGTATGCATGTATCCTTCCCAGACATTTTGGGGTTGGGAAACCTATGCATTTCAGAAGGAGGTTGTTGTAGTGGTACCAGCAAGATCAGTGGGGCATTTGTAGTTTATGTGATGCTTTCTATTAACGTGGCTCAGGATTTCTCACTGGCTGCCTTACCTGTTAGTAGGGCCACTGCAGCAGAAGATGTGGGGCCACCAGAAGTCCACTTTCTGACAGGGTTTTGCCAACTGTCTTGTTGATGTTTGGGTACTTGAGGCAGGTACTCAGTGCTGCTCAGTTTTGATTCCCAAATCCCCCAGTATTTTGGTCTATCCTTAAGATATCACCACTTTATACCACCATGACACTTCTGCCACTCTCTCTCTTTTTATTGCTGTAGATTGACACCTGTGTGACTGCACACAGACGATTGGAGCAGGATGTGGAGAGTGGTATCTGCTCTTTGTTCAGCTGGACAGAGAAATGATTAAATGTTTTCTCTGGTTCTTAATATCTGCTACAAGCTTCTCCTGTCTTCCTAGGCCTACCATGATGAAGTTCAGCACAATTCTTGACTGAGTTGCTATAACTCAGAACTACAACCCAGAGACAAGCAGGTGTTTGATGGGGGAGGAAGGAGGTGGATGTTACATGTGCAATACCTTCAGGCATTGCTTGTCGTGCCATAAGGAACAAACGATCCTTTCCCAGGAGGAGGAGTGGCAGTGGGAGAGTGCTGGGTGTAGATTACTGTAAACATGAGCAGGAGGCACAATCAGATTGATGAGGTGGATGGGAGGGAGGATTGGTGAAAGAAAGAGGAAGCAAAGACAAAAGAGGCTGAAAGGCACTTCTGATTACACCTGTGATACTTTGCAGTCCATATTCACCCAAGCAGCAATTCTGAAGTGAGTCACTCCAAGTAAGCAGTAGGTCATCTACAAGGGAGGCTCAAGGGGAACCTGCCTTGATATTATTCCAGCAGTGGGCATATCATGGAAGGGAGGAAGAAGGGCCTAGCCTTGTGGGATGTTTTCCTTGTGAGAAAGCATATGTTCCTGTGGGAACAGAGACTCTTCTGACACAGACCTACAAGCAGACTGGGAGTGAAATCTGCTCTGTATTGCAGGGCCAAGGCCGGATTTTCCATTCCGTGGAACCAGAACCCCAGAATCATCTTCCAAAGATCAATTGGTGTTCAGGGAACCGATTCTCTGATAGGATCTGAAGGCGCACACAGTTCAGGGGCACACACAGTGAGGGCGTCTCTGTGAACTGCTCCTGCAGGAAGGCTGTGCTTTGGGAGAACAAAAGGGTGCTTTCAGTGGTGTGATTTTTTTTTTCTTTGTCTCAGCTAAGTTCCCTTTTCCTCTGATATCAGATTGATAGGCCCCCGCTGAGGAGTGAATTCAGCTTCCTTCTCCAATTTCCATCCAGTTAAACACAACATATGGACAAAGGCACATCTGGGTGGCGGGTACATTCTTGTTTTCTTGGGCTTGTGACTGCCAGGTGAAGTTTATAAGGAACACCCAAAGGAAAATTGGTTTATACTGCCTGGTATTTATTCACTGAACCTTCTGGTGTGAATTCCAGATGTCTCCCACCATCTTTCCCTTAGATTTCTTTCCTAGTCAATATACACTAATGTCTACTGGGAACGTTTGGTAAACAATAAGTGGCAGAAAGGGCACAATTGCATATCTGCAACGAGAAGAGGGTTTACATTTCTTCTTACCCTTAATAATAATGATAATAATGATTACGATAATAACAATAATCCTAAGGGTATGGATCATATGCAAGCAATAGGGTTAAGCTGATTGGTAGAATATTTTTTTGTAACAGTGAAAAATTGTCACCAAGGTCTGGGGATGAAACCCGCTAACCCAAAAGTCAGGTTAGAAAGTTGACATTACTTTATAGCAGCAGTCACTGCTCCTCACATTCGAGTGCATGAGCAGAAGCACACATTAAATACATTCAAACATGTGAATATCCATACAGCTTCCCCAAATTTCCCACCTATTCTGAGAATTGATATACATATTAAAATCTAATATATCATATTAAAATCTAATGCCATGCACGTGCTATGTAAATATAAGACCCTTGCAAGGGGTTTTTAGTGTCATGAGGTTCCACTGCGAGTTGCTATCAAGGCAAAAGATTGCATATTACAAAGTCCAGGTCCTATATACAGTCAAGAACTTATTTAAAAAAAAATATGGGCTGTTGACTAAGTTTCTCATCAGCACTTTGACCTCGTTATCAACCCTAGCAGGGTACAGCGTACCCCTCTCAAAGCCTGTGGAATATTGAGACACTGCTTGCAGGATCCATATGGCCTGCTTATCTAGGAATAACAACCTTCCCTAAACAGAATGCAGATTTGTAGAGGATTTTGCAGTAAATACCGAAGGTCCTGAGTTTACTGCCAGTTATCAGGTGACAGTGGTCAAAGTACTGAGGAAAGGAGGGGCTTTCATCCTTTATCTCCACATCATGCCAAGTCATTCACACCGTTTTTGAACATCACGATGAACTCCTATGAATCTGCTCTGGTACCGTTAAGGATCACGCAGAAAAATCAACGAGCGCTAACTACTGTGTATCCATCTTAATTAGGCGACAAGCGTCTTTCCTGTACAGCCTGAGCACGTGTAAAGTGACGGATGTGGGAGGAGATCACCTGCTGGGTAAAGCGCCCCGCGTGCCGGCTGGGGGGAGAAGGGCTTTCGGCTGTGAGAGACGCTGCGCGAGCAGGCAGCTCCGCACCGCGTGGGCACCCCACGCCTCAGCACCGCCTCCTCCAACCACTTCCCTGCAGAACCTCCCCCCCGCCCCCGACACGGGCTCCTCCCGGCACTCAATGACGTCAGGGTCAGGGAGCTGACCTCCGTCTCTCTAGCCAATGGACAGCGACATTCGAATCAGCTCGGTACACGCAGGCGTGACTCAGCCCCCGGGCTGCAGGGTAAAGCGCCGATACAGCGCCCGCCGCGGTCTCAGGGCCTCTATTGAGATACAAGGATTTGTATTTGAAAAGCTTCGTCAATGGTCTCGTCTGAGGCTTTATTAACACCTCTAAACGCTAAATCTAGCCTGTGGAACGTTTATCCAGACTAGCTTATTTCGTTCTGGCATTTTTTTTTTCCCTTTTAAAACACTTATAATCTGACGTATGATGTAAAAGCTCAGGAAACTCGGAGACTTATTAGTTATGCGAACAATTAAGTGAAAAATAACTGTGCCGAATATAATCATACAAAAAACATGCAGCAGATTAGCAGAGAAGACAGCTAA